GCATCAGCATATCTTATATTGTGGCCGCCAATAATGAATCTGGGTAGGACTTCTAATTCACTCAATGTATAGAATGAATAAGTCCGGTGATACGACACGTTCCAGGTTCTACACGCCTTTCTATTTTTGCATAATTATCGAATTCATTTTCTATTCGTATGCAGTCAATTTGCTGCCAGTGTCTTAAAAGCGATGAGACTGGTCACGTTCTTCGATGTGAAAGTCATCGTGCACAGTGAGTTCTTGCCACAGGTCAAGAACGGTCAATCTGAAAGCCTACAAAGAGATGCTGCGGCGTTTGTTTCGCTCGGTCCGCGAGAAGAGACGTGAGTTTTGGCAGGACAAATCTTGGCTGCTTCACCACGACAATGCACCAGCTTGCAACACCCTGACCACCTGGTATCTCCTGGGCGAGAACAACATCGCCGTCCTGCAACAACCGCCCTATTCGCTTGATATTGCTCCGAATTACTTTCTTCTTTTAACCAAGCTTAAATGAAACATCAAGGGAGCTGCGTCGTTTTGAAGGCGTGAAGGTCATCAAAGAACAACGGAGCTGAAGGGTATCGAAGTGTGGCAAGAGAAAGGTGGAAAAGTACATTAGACTCGAGGGGGATTATTTTGAAGAGGAAACCATGTAGTTTGTTGTTTGGAATTGAAATAAATTCTTTGTGAAACAAGTCCTATTATTTTTCAGACAGTTAATGTTACGTATTATTTTAATATCCTGCCCAAATGTGTCAAGGGTACCTATCACCATATCATTTACATAACGTAGAAATAAGGTAATATTTGAGATAGAAAATAACACAAAAACAAAATGAAATAAAAATGTATTAATAAAGCCATACAGAAAGCAAACAGTTTTAATCTGTGATGGGACAATGAATCCAGTTCACACTGCTTCCCTGTGTGCCTTTGCTTTCCAGTCAAAGCTGATGTTTCATAATTCAAATGTAATATCAATCGTTATCTTTTGTCTTCCTAATTCCTTTTCACCCCAAGCAAGGCGCGAGTGCCACTAGCATGCAAGGGGTTACAGAGAGCGGGAGCAAGAGTAAAGAGGCGTGAGAGAGGAAAGGATGAAGAGAACAACGGGAGATGGAGATGTCGATTGACATTGCATTTGAATAGTTGGAGATTATATCAGGGAAGCATGTAAGAGGAAGGGAGTTACACAGGCGGGAAGTGCGTGACATGAAGCTATTGGAGTAGAAGAGGCGACTAAATGTAACCGTTTCAACAGTAAAAGGGTGGGACTAAGATGCCGACTTAGTGGCACGTTTAAATTCAGTTTAGGAACTAGCGAAAATAGCTCCTCGCAGCAGTTACCGTGAAAGTATTTGTAGAAAAGACAGAAGGAGGCGTCTCAATATATTTCTCATATTCTTGCACAGTTTTGAATCTTAGTGGCTTTATCACCTTGCTTGGGTTAAAATGATTAAAATAAATATATAACGATAACAATTATTTTAGTAGAGCAGCTGTTTGAATGGTGAAAATTAGACAACAAAATTTTATTAAAGTAACAGGTACCTAGAGCAATAATTACCGATTTTTACTGAGCGATAGAATCCAACTCTGTGTCAAAAAAGCAACTCAAAATTAAAGCAGATTTCTCATTATTAACTTTGTTTCCTGCTTAGGATTGCGTTTCCTATTCCTTCTCCTAAGTCTACTCATTTTCTATCACCCCCTGTAAACTCTTGATTTTTAGTGGTATTATCGAGCTGTTTGGAGTGAAATGATTTAAAAAAAAAAAAAAACAAAAAAAAAAAATACTACCAACAGAAACAATTGGTCATTCAAGCCCAAAGGTAAATGTCTGGGTAAAGTTGCAATCAGCAAGTGTTCTAGACTTGTCTTTATTGATGGAAAGGAAAAATGACGAACGTTTTTTTTTTTTTACATTTTCACCATAAAACCCTGAGAATGATTTTGCAGACAACGATCTTTTAGCATAACAGTATATCTACACATGATTCACGTGTTGTTATTGACTTTTGGAGAGAAATTTGTGAAATCCTTCTCTTAGGAGAGCGAGGCCATTGATCTCACACCTCGACAATATAGTTTTTAACCATATTATAAATGCGGTATGTTCTAGAAATAAAACATTCCAGGATTAATATAAAAGAAAAAAAAATACCCAGGTTCGATAACACCTGAGACGTGTTAAATTGCCCTTCGAAGATTTGATGATGAATACAAATTCACATTGACATTAGGGTCTCATCTGTTGAGAATATTAATTTGGGATAGATGTTTGAATTGTTAATAAGTTGTCGTTCATTCTTTATTATTTTTTTTTAGAATTTTCCAATTTTTCCTTTGCATATTGTTTTCTGACAACTGATTTTCTTAAGCTACCGTTGGTTCTTTTTAATTATTGAGACTCTGCATTCTTATTTGCTTATTTGAAGACAGTGATCCGGAGGAAAGATTTAAATTCACATTGCTTTCTGGTTTCTTTTCTATATTTCAATTCTCAACAATGGTGGTTGGCGAATGCAAATTCATTTTGTAATCCAGACTGGCTAAAAAAAAGCCTTATAAAAGGTTTTCGGTAAGCAAGGTGTCTCATTCGATGGTTTAGCTGAGGAAATATACACAATGCAAGGAAGAATTGACTGTTTCAGATTCAGAAATCCGTTTGTATATATATATATATATATATATATATATATATATATATATATATATAAGGAAGAGGTTATAGTAGTTTCAACGAGAGAAAAGCGTGTATATTAAAAAGAAGAGAAAAACTGCTAACGTTTTTGGTTGTAATGTGGATTTTTTAAAAAAATATTATGCTTTATTTTCCATAATTTTGCTACACGTGTTTCCGGTCTCATGACCGTCACCAGACAAAGGGTGGAGATTTCCACATATTATGAAAAATAATTAATATAAATTAAATAATGTTTTTCGATGTTAAATATTCTCGATATGAGATATTCTCTTTTTCGTGTGTTAGTGATCCGAATGTCTTTCTTGAACTGGCAGTGAAAAGTTCTGCGTGAAGGGTTATAAAACAATTAAGATTGGTCCGAGAAATGGTGACGCAATCTTATCTTTTAATGACCCCTGTTTGTTCTTAGATCTATCTCCATTTTCGTGTGTTTTTGTCAGCGTGCTTGTATATATGTGTATATTCCCTCTCCATATATACACACTGTCTCACTACGAGGAATTAATAAAAATATTTATACACATACACACATATATACACACACACACACACACAAATATATATGTGTGTGTGTATACATACATGCATACATATATACATTTATATATATATATCTATATAATAATAATAATAATAATAATAATTTCACCATAAGCAAGGCGAGAATGCCACTAGTATGCAGGGGGTTACAGGGAGGGAATGTATGAGAAAAGACTAAGTATGAGGATTGAGAAAAGAACAAATGATGAACGGGATTCAAGAAGACATGATAGCGGCTTTCGTTATATATATATATATATATATATATATATATATATATATATATATATATATATATATATAAAAAAAAAAAAAGTAATGTATTTTACATTTATTAATCCGACAGATTCCAATATGTAAGTAAACTTTCTAGTGATTTATTAGACAATGTGTTTCTTTATTTTCGTCTACCAGCCGAAAAAATCACAATAAAGTAAAGATGCGCCCTCCGCCAGGATTCGACCCTACGTTTCCTTTGCAGCCACGTCTTTCAACTCGGCCACGAAGAGTCTTATTGATGGAATAAAGCCGTTCAGTTGAGCGCAAATGTCTTCTAAGATAACTCGAAACATTCACAGTTAACAAGCAATTTCTGGAAGTAATAGATTTTTTTTTTAACTCGACAAATTTTATCACTTAAACATTATTTTAGTGGGTAGCCATATTTGAGAAGATGTTCCGTTTATTTTTAAACAGTATATTTATTTATTTTCGTCTACGGGGCTTGATTAGAATACGAAACTGAGCAGATGTGAATTTTTCGACAATTTTTGATGAGATTTATGGTTAAAAGAATTATCCGGCTTTTCTGGATCCTTGAGACTCTTCGAGGTCGAGTCAGGCTAAAGCACATCGAATCTTACGATGGTTTCTCTTTCTAGGGATACCAAAACAGTATGAAACGTTTGTAATGGAGTTTGCGGCTGGAATGCCCATGAGTACAGAATGCCGTTTCCAAACTTCAAGCCGAGTTAATTTGCGTCATGCTGCACTTTTTCTCCCAGACGGTGTCTAACTAATCTTACTATACTGTGCAGTTGACAAAATCAAAAACCAGCAACTCTCGTTTGGCTTCTTGCTTCCATGTAGCCAACAGTCTCCAAAAATTTAAGTATAACATCAAACTCAATGTTCAGTCTTCCTGAAAACTGTTATATTTATTCTCTCATTCTATTTTATTCCCAGTAACGCTTTGCGTTTTAGTGGCATTATAGCCTTGCATCGGAGTGAAACAATTAAAGAATTGTATAACTTCCAGACACAACATTATCCATACAAAGAAATCTTTGATACTGACTTTTTTGCTTTGCCATTGTTGCCGGTACTCCTTGTAATACAGGCTATAAAGGAAGTACCTCATACGTTGCTGTTTAACGTAGTCGGTCGAGTAGGTTAACAGACTGGTGCAACAAGATCTTCTTACTGATAATTTTATCATTTAACTTTACGTCAGACGAAGGTAAGCTTGATAAACGTCGTACGTTAACGAAAAGCAATGCGTATAAATTACAAAGGGACTAATGCTGTGGTGACGCAAATATTAGCTGTCACGCTTTCGTTTGAAGTACTAATTGTTGTGCTTATATCAAAGTGTCCTATTTACTGTTCAAACACTGATCAGTTTCATTAATAATAGTAAGACATCAAAGTCAAATTAATGGCCTTGTGCCAGTTTCGACCTAGACAAACAATTACAACTAAAATTACATCCGGCGGATTTAAAATTGCAATAATAGACGTAACAAATATTACATTTCAGGTGAGAAAAATGTCTTCTTTGCGACTTGTATTTTTTCCCGCCAATTTATCTCTTTCTTTCTTTTTTCCTTTCATTATCCTTATCGTCTGCTTCGCTCTTTTGTTTTATTGTCTGTTAACAAAAACCAGTACAACTACTTTAATGATATTTTTCTCTGTGGACATCATTTCGAGGACATTTGTACACAGGTATGTCGCATCCGTTTTTTTTATGCCAAGGAAAGCAATCGGCGTTTCGATAACCCTAAACAAATTTGCTGATGAGGGAAGGGGTCCAATCAGAAAAGGGACGACAAAAATCAGACCTGACCAAAACTGGAATACTGCTGCCATATCTGGGCTGGAGCTGCGCAGTTTTCTCTTTCCAGCCCTGACAGAGTTCAGAAGTGAAGAATTGTTTGGGGCGTTGAATTATTTTCCACCCAACAACCCCTAACAAGACAAAACAAGTATCTTTCCACTCTATGGCTATTTCCATGGCACAATGTGTTGGCGCGTTCCCTTGTTTAGTTCTACCAGTTCAGACCTTTACATGGAAGATCCACCGTACAATATACACAAGGTCAAATCATCGTCATTCCTCTTGTATTTCATTAGTAAGGAGGAAGTTCCATCCGGATAGCTTGTTTCCTTGAACCATTACTTTGTGGAAGAAAGTCACCAGAGGATGCTTTTGCGAGCACTACAATCCTAACGTATCCTACTTATCCTCATAAACTGCACTTAATTCCTCCTCCTACGTCCATGCAACAAACTCATTTAGTAACTCTCTGCTTTGAGTGGCTCTTGAGCATTGTATCGGGGGAATATTTTAGCTGGGAAGCTAGCCAAAAAAATGGAACCATAATAACGGGAGATACCAACTGCAACGTTTCGGGGATAATAATAATAATGATAATAATAATTAATAATAATAATAATAAAATCAAAGCCAAACGCCCAGACATTGTTATTAAAGACCGCAAACAAAAGAGGTGCCTAATTATTGATATAGCAGTCCTTGCAGACTGCAATGTATCTTTGAAGATATTCAAAAAGATGTCAAAATACAAGGACCTTGAAATCAAAATCACAAAAATGTGGCACATCGGAACATCAACAATCCCTGTTGTAGTTGGAACCTTAGGATTGGTTGGAAAAGATTCCAGTAGACTAATTGAAGGGATTCCTGGAAGCCCATGCTTCAAAGAATACAAAAGAATGTTCTCACGAGTACAGCCCACACTTTACGGAGGGCTTTATCTATGTAAAACAAATATTTTTGTCAGTGGAAAGTGTCTTGATGCCATTTCTAACCTTAGGTCTCTTGGCGGGACCTGGAAAGAAATGTGTACACGCCAGAAATCAAAGTAAATAAAAACAATAACAATAATGATGTTCGAATGGTCCTTTTCATTAATCTTTATCGCAGACGCCTACACAGATACATATATGTTTTTTTCAAAACCAAAAGAGCCAAAATAAGATTTATACTGCAACTATGGCGAGGAGATGTGAATGATTGGGAGAGGACATACAATCTGGTGTAAATAGTCGTTGATTACGCCCAACGTACCGCAAACATTTGGTCGAAATAATTTTTTTACTTCGTGTTTGCACAGCTGCTTCCGAACAGTTTAATCTGCCCACTTTCCCTTACAAAACTTGGGTCAATCCGTGTTATGGTCATTACGAAGATTATGGATTTTAAGCACTTCCCAACAAAGCCGCACGATAGAATCATCTCTACAAGCCGATATAATCAAGAGGTCAACTTCTTCACAAACCCAGCCCTGTCGGCTGGGGTTGTAGAATAAGCCGACTGCATCTCTCCAGAGGAGTAAGACCCCCCCACCACCACCAATGGTCCTCTTGCGTAAAATACATCCGACAGCAATGCTTTTGATCAGGAGGCTTGAGGAGCATGGTCCCACCTATTGATTGCTGGTGTTCCCAGGTCCACATTAACCCGGAATGGTACCACCTGTCAGGGTCCCAGCTATGGGTAAGTAGTTACCCGCCAATAAAAGTGGGCATAACACTATGAAAGTATAAAAATAGATTAGAATACCAGAAATAATTTTTGGGAAAAATTATTACCAGCAGTACATTTTTGAAAAAAAGAAAAATATTACCAGCAATATATTTTTGGAAAAAAAATTTATTGTCAACACATTTTTGGAAAAATATTATCAACAATATATTTTTGGAAAAAATATTACCAGCAATGACAATCTTGTCGGCATTAAATAACTCATAGAGGTTGATATACCGTAAAACAAAACCAACCAAACCATAACTTCACAAATCGACCACATTGGGGTTCAAAGATCGGGTCTTATGGTTGTAATGCCAACGTTCTAATAATTTTAGATATTCTTCTTCATCTATGTATATATGTTCTTCAAGACGTTGCCGAACATGGCTCTACACAATTTCCTGTTGTTTGTAGCTGATAGTAAATTTTGTATTTTTGCTATCGCTTCTAAACTATCGATTTGCACACGATATTTAGTTAGGTGATGCGCCGATTTTCCTCTATTCTTGTTTCCTTCAATATGTCCTTTGCATAAAATTTGCCAAGCCATTTTCCACGTTATGTGCTCTAGAAATTTCAACTGTCTCTCTAATGTGAAGTATAAGTGTCATTTTTTTGTTTCATCTCTATCTATAACAGGCAGGGTGTGTGTGTGTGTGTGTGTGTGTGTGTGTGTGTGTGTGTGTGTGTGTGTGTGTGTGTGTGTGTGTGTGTGTGTAACGAATGCACGGCCGCAATTTTCGACGGATTTGCACCAAAATCTACATGCACAAGTTAGAGGGAAAGGCCAAGACCGACTTTTGCATTTCCCAACTCCCATCGATAGTGTAAATAATCGATTTTTTCATGCTTCTACGGCAGTTTTCATGTAGTTTGCGGCCATTTTCTACTGGCCAGAGTGAGAGCCTATAGCTGGCTGCCTCGAATAGGCACGGAGATTCTATTGGCCAGCGTGAGAGCCAACAGCTGACTGACACGAATGTTAACTAGCATGCTAGCATGCAAAAAAAAAAATCAATAGCTGAATTCGTCACAACTGGGAAAAATTTAAATCTGCATGACACTTTACTCCAATTGGCTCATTCGCTTGTTTAAACTCAACGTTAATTCTGATTCCGCAGAACTGGGTTGGGTGTGAAAAGGTATTTGTTGTTAACATTCTTTTTTCATTCGGTTTTTCCAGTTACAAGTCCTTTTTTAAAGCTGATCGTTTTGTGTTCATTTTGTTTAGTTCTTTTTTCATGACAGATTTAATGTTTAGTATAGAGCTTAGAAAAAATTCTCAGTGTGATATAGGCAAGAAGCAAGGCATGTAGCAACATCAGCACGGCAAAGGGCACTCCTTTAAAGGCAAGGAAGGGCAAAAATATTTTAAGTCAAGTGATAGTGATTGCTGTATGAGTCGTACGAGTTTTGAATCAAGGACGGGCAACGCCGAGCCATGCTGCTAGTTTTCGCTAAAACTTCGTTGTTGATCACTCCATAGTATTCTCAGCATCCTTCAAGTATTTTCTTCATCCGGGTGGAGATTTTCCAGCATTCAGTGTCATATAGGAGGACTGATATTATAATGATTTTTCGAGCGTAGCTTAGATGTGGCATAAGGCCGAAAGTATGGGATATCCGGTGAGAAGCAAACTCACCGTTCAGTGAAAATTGTTCTAGCGAGACAATCTTGTTAACCATTACACCACTTCGGGGTGCCCAAGGGGGACTGATATTATATAAAAGTTCAGTATTCTTTTCGCTGTTTCTAACGCAATTTTCGTGTTTCTTAATACTTTGCTTAGGTTTTGGAAAGCATTTCTTAAAAGTAGCCATTTATTTCCCGAAATATATATTTTTATGGTATGTGTTACTGTTTATTTTTTCAGGAACGTTCACAGCAACTGTATTGGGACCAAATGGACGATTACCTGTCAATGTCGATTTAGAAGAGAACAAGACGAGTGTTATATTCACACCAGTGAAAGAGGGTGAGTCAGACCTTCCTAAAATTGCTCTGATGGGAACAAATATCAAATCGGTAATCAATAATGGAAGCGTGACACGATTTTTATTCAGATAAATCCAAACTGTCAGTATTCGGTAAGCCAAACATTTTTCATTTTTTTATATGATCACACGGTAAAACATTTATCACGCCATAAAGAATTGGGGATGTTTTCTGTTAATTCAACACAAAATATTAATTTACCCCAAAATAAAAAATAATATTTATTTACTAAAATTCACACCAAATTCTCCCAAAGTGAGGCCCTTCATTTGTACTTTGGCTGGGTTGACCTTTGCGATCACCCCAAATATGGTCGACGCAAGTGTTGTATTTCTAACTGTTCGGTCTGGATTCGTGCTTACTCCGCTAAACAAGACAAAAACAGATTTTTTTTCCTTTCATTCTTTTCTTTCATTCCTTGTAAGTACCTCGAATATCATTCAAACTTATGAAATGGGAATACCTCCCTGAGCTTTGATAATTTTTCATTATAAGGATTGGAGTTGTTGCGAAGCAAGCCAAATAAATTTTGTTGTTCCTCTCCTAGACTAGTTGCTACCAAGGCTGGAGATGCCATTCTATCTTGCATATCAACATCTAGCATTGTATATTAAAATTGAACTTATACACCGGTAGCAATATTTGTATTTTCTTAGTTTCTTGGGCTGTGGTCTAAGATCCATAGCAGGTGTCTGAAAGCGTCTATAGAACCAAACCGCAGATATGCCACATAACTTAATTCATAAATTTAGCACAGTATAGGAGTAAATGCAGTAATAAAATGAAACACTTAACGCAATATATTGTATTAAAAGTTATTATTACTTCAAACTTTATTATAGCGAAAGCTAGTGTTTGAAATAGACGCCCTAAATTTGTTTACGTACTTTAAGCAGTGTCTATTACGACGATGTACCAACGTATTTGAGAAATATTAATAAAGAAAATGTTCTCTCCGGTAAGAATCGAACATACCTCCCCATTTGTAGGAAGAGTCACGGTTTGATCCGATGTGCATTGCTGCTCGGCTCCAAAGAGCGTAAGAATACAGCAGGCATCTATTTTTCCTTTTAAGGAAAGCAACCTAGTATTTCCCCAAGACGCAGGTAGGTAGATGTTATACACAACGCTTAGAGTAGAAACGCAAACGGGTTGTCTATTTCGAATAGGACCATCTACTATAATAACGATTGAAGTAAATAGAAATGTCGGATTAAATCTAAATCCAGCGAATCTTTAGAAATTTCGGATTAAAACTTAATCCAGTAATTCTTTAGAAATGTCGGATTAAATCTAAATTCAGCAATTCTTTAGAAATGTCGGATTAAATCTAAATCCACTAATTCTTTAGAAATATATGATTAAATATAAATCCAATAATTCTTTAGAAATGTCAGATCAAATCTTAATCCGGTAATTCTTTAGAAATGTCGGATTAAATCTAAATCCAGTATTTCTTTAGAAATATCGGTTTAAATCTAAATCCAATAATTCTTTAGAAATTAAGCGTTGTGTAATCGATGGAAGAGTCGTTCACACTGTAGTGCTTAGTAAAATTATCAAACTATCATTTTTGATTGATTGCCGATAGCCATATTGAACATCTATAATAATCAATATGTGAACAAGCATTAAATAAACAAGAAATTAAATAATTAAGCCAGTTTTTTTTTTTGAGTTTTTAAAATGTCCTTATAAATTTGTGAACGTTCATCTTTTCACACGAATATATAAATTTTTTTGGCATATCTGAAATGCCGCAATTACTGTCTTCCTGTAAATATGATCATGCCTCTCCATAGCTTCCTTTTCATTTATAATATCTGTGACTTTTGGTGAGTGATTTCCCGTTGTCCCTTCAACGTCTATTGAATTCGTAACAGTTCCTCGTATTTCAGTTTACTCTTCTTTTCTAATCTATATCTGGAGGAAAGAGAATTGATTGTGCTTTCTCTAAGGTCATTAGTGCGCATTAAACGCAACGGATTAGTATGAGATTTTAATTCGGTTTGCCGATTAATCCTTCCCGTGGTGATAACCTTTTAGCTATTCGCACATTCTGATAACATCACCTACTTTGTCTTTTTGAATTATTATTAAATAAAACTTACAACTTGTTTCTTTCTGTGATTGACGTGTATTGAAACGGCGCGAAGACAAACAGCGTATAAATAAACTGTAATTGTTATGGTCCAAGGTTAGGAACATGGAAGACCAACACGAAAGACAATCGTAGAAATAACAAAGAATATATTACACAAGAAATAATACAAAGATGTGAAAGGGTTAGTAAGACTGTCCGACTGGTTTGGCGTGACTGCTATCAGCTCGACTCGATTCAATACCATATCAATCCCGTTCTAATACCAAATCTTTTGGTCTCTCTTGAGAGGCGTAGTATGTATATCCTTCGGAAGAGTTCATTCTGTCGATCTAGGTAGGCACCATGACAGTGATAATGGCCTGTCACTATGTCACAATTAAATGGCACACAGTGACAATCGAGACCAGTAATAATTAAATTAGTTTAGGAGCGACTGGTTCAGTTTCCAGCTTTGCCTAATTTAAAACCCCAAAGCATCAAGCTTGATATTTTAAAAATAACAGTTCATTTATGTTTTGTAATTAAAACGATTTAATTTTTGCTTCTTTATTTCGATTAACCACATTACGAATGACCTCAAAATGAACAGGCGACCATTACGTTCATTTGTATTGGTGTGACATCTCACTGGACATGTCTCCATTATTGGGTTACTGCCCTGGACCTATGGGAGAATTGGACAGCAGTAAAGTTGTGGTGACAGGTCGTGGTTCGGTTGAGGCCCGTGCTCTTGTACCGGCGGAATTCATCATCGATGGTCGAAAAGCTGGGAAAGGTAAGTTCAAAGTTTATTTATTTATTCATTTTTTGGACAAGATTTCAGGCAATATTTACACAGATAAGTAACGTCATGTGCCATTAACATGCTGATTTTCTAAGCTTATCTTAGATGTGGCACAAGGTCGAACTTTTAATATTGCTATGACCATGATAATCACTGTTTCCTCGCAGCAACATCAGATGTATTATCTACATAAACTAATAAGTTCGTGACAAATTATTAGATATAATATATTTAAAACAATAAATCATTATAATTCAACATGTTCTCCTTTCTTGTCAACGCACAATTTAATAATGAATATCACTGACAGACATCCCGCTTTACATAGTGAATATTTCGCATATAAATTCAGTTTCCTGAATTATTGATCTGCACTCAAAAATAAAATCATTTTCGGCCATTTCCACGTAGTATAATGGCTAGCCAGCTTGTCTTGCTATATCAACTACGACTGGGGCTTCAGACTTTCGGCCTAGTGGCACATCTAAGCTGCGCTTAGAAAATAACCATACATAAAAGCCCGTCATAGATTTGACGATAAACTACATCCGCGTCCTGGGTAAGACGATAAACTACGTCCAACAGCAAGGCCTCAGGAGGTTTTGAGGTGCGTGGAATTACCTCTTAATTGCTGGTGTTCACAGGTCCATTCTGACCCGGGGTGGTAGCACCTGTAAGGGTCCCAGCTATAGGCAAATAGTTAACACACAAACTGGGGTTCAAACATTACGAAAGTGTAAAAATAGGTCTTAATGCCAGAAATACTTTGTAAAAAAATTATTACTAGCAATACATTATCAGCAATACATTTTAGGCAAAACATTTTACCATCAGTAATTTTTTGAAAAAATATATCATCAGAAATAGATATTTGAAGAAAAAATATTACTAGCAATACACGTTTGAAATTGTCGGCGTTAAATAACCCTTTGAGGTGTTGATATGCTATAAAACAAACCAAACTAATCTCTAACATTTAGTAATTCCTTGCGTTTTAGTGGCTTTATTGACTTAGAGTGAACTGATTAAAAATAAAACTGAGTAGGAATAAATAATAACGAGACAAAATATTCGAGCGGAATGAAAACACTCTATCTCCCTAGATTAAATAAAGGGTTCAGTTCAAAATTTCTTGAAGCTTACTCCTATTGACATTCACTTGATGAAGTTCGGAGGGTACAACAGCCGAAACGTTATGAAAATTACAACAATGATGACGATAATAGTGCTAGTGTAAATAAATAAGTTCTATTTTTGCCTAGAACTGGAATTTCAGAAATACATTTTTGAAAAAAATATTACCAACAATAAAAATTTTGTCGGCATTAAATAACCCATTGAGGTTGATATACCGTAAAACAAACCAAACCAACCCAAACATAAATAAAAGCATTTTTATATAAAACCAACCTTGAAATCAAAATAAACATGATAAAAATAGGGGCATTTTTTTTAAAAATTAGGTGAGTGTCGTGTTTCCTTCCAAGTAAAGTAAAACTCTTTAAGATAAGCCTAGCCGTTCTTTCTTTACCTAATACGTAACACTTTGAAACACTAATACTGCTGACATGACGCATCTCATAATAAAATCTCAAGCAACATCAAATCCACGTATTTCTATGTTTTATTTCTGATTTTTTATCATTTAAAGCCTTCCTGAAATCCAACTTCGTTTTAAATGAGTGAAGAAGAATTTTGAAAATGTTATTAATATCTTCGAAAGGGGATTGAAAAGTTTGATGTTTGCAGGACATATAGAAGACAAGAAAAACAGAGGAAGGGCCACGCATAACCTACCTTGCGTCTTTCTGTGGCAGGACGACGGATCAAGGTTTAGGAATGATGATAAAATTTATTAAGAGTTACAAATGACAGGAAATTTTGGAGAGCCATGATTGTCTCGCCCCAAAGGGACACGGTACAAAGAAGAAGAAGAAGAAGAAGAAGAAGAGTGTCATACAACAATGTTAGTATCGATGTTGATAATATAGTTGATCTGCGGACAAGAGGATATATCCAAGAAGCTCCATCTGGAAGACTTTCACTGGGATGGGGATTAAATAAAGCGTGTGGAAAGACAGAACTGGGGACAAAAGATAGCAGAAGAAGTCAGGTACTTGCTGGAGCGGTAGACTAAATTAGTGAGGGATTCACATCCACAAGGGTTGCGTGCACAGGCGTGATACCTCGGGTGAAATGTGTCAAGGTTACCCAGAAATCATGCTCATAAATGAGTTGGAAGTTTTTAGAAAGATTAATTGGGCATTTTAGCTCAAAAGACAATGGGTGGCAAAATTCTTATCTATATTTTTTAATTCTGATGAGTCCCGACCAAATTATTTCAGTCTATGACAAATTTGGGTTGAAAGTTCTGAATAGTGACTTTTCTTAATGAAGTTGACAAGAAAAAAAAATCAAACTCTATTTCAATTGCTGGTCAGTCCACTCTGGCGAACGCTACAAAAAAGAACCCTATTTGACTCTGTTTTTCCCATTACCGAAAATCTTGTAGCACAAAACCCGTCTCGCTGTGGAACGAGAGTTCTGCAAGCGAGAAACGCAAGAAATTGTTAGCATAAAAATAAAGTGACATCTAGCCATTTCACTAGTAAAATGATGAGCTATAGCTGTTAATTAAATACTGCATTCAAATCCGCAAATCTAGGTACAAAAAAGGAAAATTGCCATGAAAATATTTAAGAAAAGGTAAAGTGGACCTAATATGCGGCGCTGAAACCAAGATGACAGGACAGGACGGATAACATTGCAGATTTTTCTTTGGATATTATCAAGAATAAAATATATAGCAGAAGCACCAGATGTGACAGCAATATTCAATGCGTATATAAATGCGTAAGATAGATTTTCGTGCAAAGCATCTGCGAGAAAAATACACTAGATGTCCACCATTATTCGACAACGGGGTCACTTCTAATTCGGGACACTTTTTATGTATCAAGCCAAACAATCACCCAAGAAGCTGCATCTAGTTTATCTAGTTATCCTCAATATAAATCACATCATCATCATCATCATCATCATCATCATTATCCTTCGACCTCTTTATGTTTAGTCGGAACTTCATTGACAATCCCTTTCCACACTGTTCAGTCCTGCATTTCTGTTCCCAGATCCCCAATGTTCAACAATGATTCTCGAGCTATGGTGTCTGAGAAAGGAGACACTTCCAAAAGGATTCCATAGAAGTAAGGGTGGGATGATTTCTCTGTCTGCTCGATGGCAGTGGCCGGCACGCTGTAATCGTTTTTGTTTGAACTTAAGAGGGATTGGCCTGAGTTCTCCGTGAATCGCTTTAAGTGTTGCATGGGATCTCCAACTGATATTCTGTATTTTTCTAAATAGATTTGTGTATGTTCCATCCAGTCGTCTTTCAAGGCGAGCAGATAATGTCCAAATTATCTGATCCATTCAGTAGGACTGGTTCAGTTAGTGTTCGAAAGGTTTAGACTTTTAAGGAGGGTGGAAGGTTCGAGTGCCAAATCTCGTGAACATGGGATGCGTGTTACAAATCTTGTAACACACATCCCATGCAAAAGCTTTGCCAATGTTAAAGCCTTTTTGGTAATCTATTGTATGAGATACAATATATTTGAAGTCCTCAACTCTTTCGATGGATGTATTATTGATTGACTTTGCCGTGCTGATGTTGCTACATGTCGCACACTGCGAATTTTTCTAAGCTCTATACTAAACATTAAATCTGTTACGAAAAAAGAACTAAACAAAATGAACACAAAACGATCAGCTTTAAAAATGGACTCGTAACTGGAAAAACCGAATGAAAAAAGAATGTTAGCAACAAATAACCCAACCCAGTTCTGCGGAATCAGAATCAACGTTGAGTTTAAGCAAGCGAATGAGCCAATTGGAGTAAAGTGCCATGCAGATTTAAATTTTTCCCACTTGTGACGAATGCAGCTATCGATTTTTGTTGCATGCTAGCATGCTAGTTAACATTCGTATCAGTCAGCTGTTGGCTCTCACGCTGGCCAATAGAATCTTCCTGCCTATTCGTGGCAGCCAGCTATAGGCTTCCACTCTGGCCAGTAAAAAATGGCCGCAAACTACATGAAAACTGCCGTAGAAGCATGAAAAATTCGATTATTTCTACTATCGATGGGAGTTGGGAAATGCAAAGTCGGTTTTGGCCTTCACACTCACTTGGAGCATGTGCATGTAAATTTTGGTGCAAATCCGTCGAAAATTGCGGGCGTGCATTCGTTACACACACACACACACACACAAACATCCTGTCTTTTATAGATAGAGATGTACACACGAGGACCAAAATCCCATACACCGACTTTTAAGAAGTCATTAACAAATATATTCAAAAGGAATGGCAACAGTGCATGGAGGATAACCTAAACAATAAATACTTCGCAATGGAAGAATGGAAATCGGCTTTCAAGAACGGAAGAATTATTACTGGCCCACTTACGCACTGGTCACACGAGAATCACGCACTCGTACTTGCTAAACAATGATAATCAACCATTATACCAAGCATATGAAACGGCATACACTATTAAAAATATATTAACCGAGTGTTTCAGACCTTGCTCTCTCAAAACGAAAATTCTATATTTCCGAGAAAGCAAAAGTGGATGAGACGATATCATTTCTTAAAAAAGAAAATGTAAATGTCAATAAAATCAGTTTCTCTACAAACTGTATATATATATATATATATATATATATATATATCAATGAAACCAGTCTTTCGACAAAAATCTTCTTTACAAAAATACGTCAATGAAACGAGATTTGCAAACGGCTATCTTACAGAGAATACATATTCTATTAATAGAAGTCGCACTAATAGTACTTGCTCGATAATGCTCGCTCGAATAATAACCCGTATAGTGATCCGAATAGAGGTATAGTATAGTGAATAGAGTAGAGAATAGCGGTTCGTATAATATTAGAGGTTAGACTAGAAATGGTGATACGTATAGTAATAGAGGATA